AAATATTTCTCTTTCATAAATATCTAATTTGGGAACAGGAATTTTCAATTAAACGTTGCTATTGTTATTGTAAGAGTGCACAAAATCACCAAATTGTCTTTGGGGTATCAATAGCAACCGAGTATATTATAGCCTAAATAATATTATTCAAATACAGCTACATAGATGTAACATTTTTACGAAAGTTTGTCAACACTTTTTCTGCATTGTCTTTATGATTGGTTATGTGGGCTTTCTTAAGCACAATCATGTACGCCAGCGGTGCATTATACAGACGCAAACGAAGATAGAACTTGATGGCCAACTCTTGCAATTCCTTCGGCTGCTCTTTCGCAAGGTAAAGCGATACAATTTCGGCGATATCATTCAAATGTTTGCCATCGATTTGTAAGCTCTCAATGAGATTGGCAAAATTCTCAAGCAGAATCACTTGTAGTTTATACTCTTGCGTGTGACTGCAAAAAGCAATATGAAAGAAATATTTTACTCTTATAATAATCTAATTTTAATCTAGTAAATGTTTTTGGAAACTTACGCTGTGATTGTTTCCATCACGCTGTTTTTAGATGATTTTTGCAAGAAATCTTTCAGATTGGGTATCACATCACTATAAAATGAAAAACAATAACATTAAGTAACTGAATTGTTGAAGCAAACACGCACAAAATAACATACTTTAAGCTACGTTTCAGTATGAATTCCTTAGCATGCGTTGCCAGCACGTTCAACAATGTGAAACAGCGATTTAAAACCACGGCTTCGTTGTTGCGAAATTTCTCCACTAATGGTGACCACATTAAGTGCACCAATGGCAGCAGCTCATCTTCATAATCACGCAGTAAAGGCACAGCCTGTATTAAACACTCGAGCGCAAGTATCTGGTGCGTTTGGTCAACAAAGCTCACAAACTTTAAAACCTGACTTGTTATATCCTTAACCATTAGTATATGACGTGGTAATTGTGGCTTCAAATCATCTTCCGTCTCCTCATCTTTCATCTCAACATCATCCGTAGTGTTTGTTGTGGTTTTTGCAGTTGTTTCGTTCTCCATATTCACACTTTCATCCACAACGATTGCATTGCTTCTTTCCAATATATCCAGCCAATTTTGTAAGTGATCTACTTCTTGTGTATCCTCGACTTGCATGGGCACAGAGGACACTTCTACATCACTTGACATTTGCCAGCGGGCGACATGTTTCACAAACGCATTGAAAACACGCAAAAATGCATTCATATTTTCCGATTGTTGAGATCTACTACATTCATTGTATATTGTTTGGAAAATGTTTTCCAAATGTGGTAACGCTCTGCGAGTGCTTAGTTGAAGCAGTACCGTTAGTATGTCAACCGCAGCGTGGCTTTCAGGTGACTGCCGAAAAAATTAAATTATGTTAATAAATGGTTATATAAATTGAGTTAAATATACCAACCCGCTTTAAAATGGTATTCAAATGATAGCTGAGGTAATCGGTATGCGCTTCAATCATTTCGGAGATATTTGCAAATTTTAACGCCTTTTGTATGGAGACTAAGCAAAAGTTGGCCGCTTGATAAACCATTGTGTTGCTGCTTGCTGTGGAAGAAATAGATAATATATATATAAAACAAGAAAAAAACATTAATTTCGTCTGCACCGAAGCTAAAATATATTTCACAAATAAAATAGTGTTCACACAGGAACTTGAGATGGATTGATCAGTTTGTATGGCACTTATATGCTATAGTAACTCGTTCTGAACAATTATTCCGCAGAATATACCGTTGTCTCGGATAATAATCCATGTCAAATTTCGTGAAGATATCTTGTCAAATAAAAAAGTTTCCGATACAAGGACATGCTTTTTATCGGCCAGTTTATATGGCAGCTATATGTTATTGTGTTACGATATCAGCGGTTCCGACAAATGAGCAGCTTCTTAGTGATAAAAGAACTGGTGCCAAACTAGTTCGCGTATATACAGACGGACAGACATATGGGCATGGCTAAATCGACCTCACGCTGAGCATTTATATAATATATATATATATATATATATATATATATATGTTTTATAGAGTATCCGACGTTTCCCTCTGGATGATACAAACTTCGCGGAAAACTTAATATATATACATACCTACTTTTAAAAGCACTTTGTGTAGGCAACGAAATATATAACGGTTGAAACTCTCGCCAAAATGTGTTGCGCAGTGTCCTAAAACATCCAAAGATAGGCATGTGTGCAATACATTGAATTCGGCATCTAAAATTGTGACACGCTGTGACCTGCTCGCTATAAATGCAGTTGAAAATATAAAAAGTTATTATGTTTATTGCTTAATAATGTTTTATAAGCTTATTTAAATTTCAAACCTAAATCTGCATCCTTTTCATCATCGGAGTCCACGTCTTGTGTTCTAATTTCTACCGCCGACTCATATAAGCCGGGTGTATTGTCCACAAACCAGTTTGTTGGCTAAATGATAGCACGAAAAAATTTGATTCACTTAAGATATATAAAAATAAATATACGATCAGATGAAATACCTTGTCCACCTTTAGCCGCCAGCTTGCATCAGGCCGCAATGCTAAGTGCCAGTGTTTATCATTCAATATTTCCTCAATAAGTATTTCTACCAATTCTATATGGGTAGAATTATTCCGGCTTTCATCACCTGTGCCGACCCAAAGCATTATTTGCAAAATTTCATTCATGGCTTCACTGTTTTGATCCAGTAGCTCCAAGAGAAAATCATACACCAAGCGATTCAAACCATTTATATTGCCTAAAATCTCACAAATATCTTTCACTAATTTTATGCAACGTTCGCTATTCAAATGTTTATATTGCCGCCAATTGAGTTTTATACATTCAGTTAAATCAGCCTCCACAACTTCACGTACTGCATATTCCTCCGTTAAAAAATCGCGACATAGTTTCATATCAACTGCTGAAAGCAGACATCTACAAAGCATTTCTAAATTTTTCGGCACCAACAACAGAGAATTTATTCTCGAAGAGCATAAGTTTTTCAGAAACCCCTTTAAAAAAATCAATTCAGCGTATTGCTCAGCATCGGCACAGCGATTGATTATGCGTGGTAATTTTGCTAAATGTTCATCGAATAATGTATCGGCGTACTCGTCAAAAATACTATCAATAGCATTGTCCTGTTGTTGTAACTGTGATAATGTTTGGGCACAGAGTTGACTGATATACTTATCTTCATCCTCCGACATGGATATCACGTTCCCGAGTAAAAGCAGAAAATTTCCTGAAAGATTATGGCCGCAACGTTCTATTAAAGTGCAACACATACGTGCATATTCGGTACGCACGCGCACTGAATCGTGCGAACGCAAAATACTTGTTTGTGTATAAACTATGCGGAGCTTCACTGAAGTATCATTAAACCATTCTTTGGAGCGACCGCTGCTTTGCATACGCTTCAGGCGATTTTCAATTTGCTCTTGAGAGCTTTTGTTGGTCGTTGCATAATTATCGAATTCAGATGAATCGTTTTTATGTTGCGACCCCTGATTGAACAGATTTTTAAATTCATTTTTATCGTAGCAGTGTTTGATTGCTACATCACCCGAATGATCATAAATCACGCACAGTATCCGACCCAGTGCTTTAATGGCTGTCTAAAAGTATGAAAGATATATAATGGAAAAACCAGATATTCAATATAAAGAGTAATTTCTATGTAGTAAATTCATATACTTACCGCCTTAAGTGTTTCGCCTAATTTTTCATCGGCAAGGCTAGTTTTCAATAAGACAGTAACAATTTTTGGCAAAAATATAAAAATCGTATCGGCTACTTGATTTCTTAGTACCACATCTGTAAATTCCGCTTCATCATGCACATAAAAAATTGTCATTAAACAAACGAGAGATGCAATTCTGGAAGATATATAAATATTTGCCTATGCCATTAAATTAATAACGCGTTATTACTTACACTAATTTCCGATACTTTTCTTTTTCAATAAATTCAACTAGCGATAATAGTATCTGTCCGAGGAGCATAGCAGATTCTTGCTTATAAAATACCTCAAGTACATCACTACTAGAGCGACGCAATGCCTCTGCAATGCATTGTACTGAAACCAACTTTAATTCCTCGCTTATATTCGGACGTGTTGTGATTGCACCAGATTCACGAATTTGCTTTAGTACAATTACCAACAATGTGCGCAATTCTTGTATGTCATCTAAGTACAGGTTGGACATAACAATGCGCACGCAATCCAAAATGCCCGTCATTAAGTCCTGATTTGCCCTACAGAAGAAGGTTATTTGCGCCCTTTTATAATTAATATTTTTAATACTATAGCATACCCATTTAGCTCTTCCAATTTTAGGACGAGTGGCGCCAATATTTGTGAATGGAATACTTTCATTTGTCTAAAGTTGAATTGCAACAGTTCGTAGCGAAGCCGCTCCAAATGCTCCCTGTTGGGCGCCCGCAAAAACATGTCCAACGCTGGTTTTACTTTTAATACAAATTGTTCAAATGAAGCCATTTTGGCTTTACATTTAGATAAGTCGTTGAATTCAATAAAAATTAGTTTAATTAACTTTTTACAGTAAACTCAAAATGTAAAAGTGCCGGTACACGGCGTAGTAAACAGTCGAATATAAGAAAAAACAAAGTCAGCTGATTTAAGGTCGATTTCAAATATGCCAAAAATGAAATGATCGATAATTCGTAGTTTTATAAAGCCATAACTATACGAGTTTAGTTTGTATCTTAACTAATAGTAGCAGCTAGCTTTCAGGGAGAAAAAAATTTACAGTTGCTCTCAGAAAGAGCGAAATATCGAAAAAATTAAGAAACGGGAAACCAGCAGAAACTGGCAGGAAAATATCAATATGAGGTTTTTTTCAATCACTTGATATCAACAAATAAAAATCAATCAATAGAATTCTTATTTTTACATTTCAAAACTAGCAGCTCTCTCAGCTTTTTACGTTCTAGGCTTCTGCTCTCTTCTACTGGTTTTTTGAGTTAAGAAACGCTTTTCCATTAGAAACTTTGCTAATACTAGGTTAGCAACTAAGATAAAAACCTATTACGTGCGTAAGCATAGCAATGGGTCTAATTGCGTAAACTAATTTTTTAAACATATGAAAATCAAAAGCAAGCAACTTCAAATTGGTTCCTATTCACAAAGTGACGTTGGTTGTTTGCACGCAATCTATTGCTTGATAGTAAAAGAAATTCAACGTCTGCGTTTTCGAAACCAAGCTCCAACGAGTAATGTTGTTTCGGCTTGGTGTAAAAAATTTGTGACGCTTTTTATTTATCGACTTTTACGATTGATTGCGGAAATGTAATCATTACGGCGCGACCAATCAAAATTTTTTATAGTATAAACTGTATATTTATTTTATTGTAAAGTAATTTAAAGTTGTAAGATATTGAACAAATAGTTGAAACACATATTTGTATATAAACAGCTCTTTCCACAATTTCAGTTATAACGGTACTACGAGCAGTAATGTCGATTGCCAAATCTTTGAAACGTTCCTTGTCGGATGCTGGTGGATCCAAAATTTCCAAGCGAATATGTTTTCTGCAACCAATGACATCAGATTATAATTCTATTAATTTGAATTCCGGGATAAATGTGGTAGGACGAAACTCTGAAACTGGCATAAGAGATGTCCATTGTTCCAAGCGACAACTGGAACTCGACGTAGACATGGAAAATACACGAGCTAAATTGCGAGTAATTGGTGAAAATCCTTGCAGCGTCAATGGTTTAATGATAATGCAAAATAACGAATGCAATCTAGAGCACGGAGACATCATTGAATGTGTTTACGGTAAACTTCAATTTGAGCTACAATTCAAACCGTCACCTACAGCGGAAACGAAAATTAAAAATGAAAAACAAAACCAACAACCCACTAACGAAGATAAATCGAATGAAAACAGCGTAAGTAAAAATGGTTCGGGAAAATGGGAATCCGTAGGAAACGGATCTATGATGGTATACAACGACGATGCAGTAAAAGCGTCAAACAAAATAGCTGGATATGATATTGATGGCACAATTATTACCACCAAGTCTGGTAATGTTTTTCCAAAACATACCGACGACTGGCAAATATTATACCCCGAAGTACCAAAAAAATTAAAATCGTTATATCAAAGTGGATACAAAATTTGCTTTTTCACCAATCAAGGAGGTATAGGAAGTGGCAAAATAAAATTGGATGATTTTAAAAGAAAAATAAAAGATATACTAAAAAAATTAGCGGTACCTGTACAAGTTTTTATCGCTATCGAAGAAGGTCACTATAGGAAACCATTGATTGGAATGTGGCAATATTTGGTGGATAATAAAAACGATGGCATTGATATAGATTTAAGCAAAAGCTTCTTTGTTGGCGATGCGGCCGGACGGCCAGAAAGCGGCAGTGGCAAGAACAAACGTAGGAAAGATCATTCTTTGGCAGACCGTAGGTTTGCTGCTAATATAGATGTGTCTTTTTACACTCCTGAAGAGCACTTCTTGGGTAAACCCACGGAGCAATGGCTGAAATCAGATTATAAGCCAAGCGAGATTATAAATAACACCGACATCCCGCTTTTGGAACCGAAAAATGTGGATATTCCTGCTGATAATTGTGAAATGATTATTATGGTGGGCTTACCCGGATCCGGTAAGTTTTCAAACATAAATTTATGGAAGTCGCATTTAAATAAATTGTATTTCAGGTAAAAGTTATTTTTGTCAAGAGTATCTTGAACAACATAACTACACTATTGCCAACGCTGACAAAGCAGGAAGCACTCAGGCATGTCTTAAAATATGTGAGAAAGCTTTGGGAGCCGGGACATCTTGTGTCGTGGACAATACAAATGTGGATGTTGAGTCGCGGAAAAAGTTTATGACGCTTGCAAAGAAATACAATGTCCCTTGTCGTTGTTTTGTTATGAACGTGCCATTGGATCAAGTACGTCATAATATAAAATACAGACATCTTACGGATAGTAGCCACTCAAAGATAAATGAAATGGTTTTTAATATGATGAAGAAAAAATTTAAAAATCCAACAGTGGACGAAGGCTTCACACATATTGTCAAAGTAAATTTAAAACCGAAATTCAAGAGTACAACGGAGGAGCAACTATACAAATTATATTTATTAGAAAAATAAGTGCTAAATATTAAGCTGAATAATACTAAAGTTGAATGTTCCTTTCTCACTATGTGATCATTAATCTAAGGTAAATATGCGCTTAGCAATATCATCTATAAGCCAATCCATAGCTCCTAAGAGTTTTTCTCCAGTTACCGCACTCACACCCACAACTAACCAATGATGTGTGGTTATATCGTCAAGCTCAAGGACCTACAAAAGTAAATATATATATATATATATATATATAAATAGAGATACAAAAATGTTTTTTAAAATAATTTACATCTTTGATATCATTTGCGCTAAGTGCTCCAGGTAAATCCTGTTTGTTTGCTAGTACAAGCAGTGTAGCGCCAGCAAGACGTTCCTCTTGTAGCAAAACTCTCAGTTCTTGTTTACATGATTCAAGGCGCATACGATCTGCGCTGTCTACCACCCATACCAGGCCATCAGTTGATTCGAAGTAATTTCGCCAGTATGAACGAAGTGATTTCTGTCCACCCACATCCCAGAGATTCAGCATATATCCATTATGTTCCAAAGTTTTAATATTAAATCCCAGCGTGGGGGAGATTGTGTCTATTGATTCACCATTAAATCTCTTTAATATGGTTGTTTTACCGGCATTGTCTAGTCCTCTGGTGGGTGAAAATATATACCATATATAAGTATGAATCACTAGTATTTTTATTTTAGCATTTAACCATACATACAATAGAAGTATTCGCATCTCCTTTTCTTTCTGTCTCATTTTCTTCAAAACTGAAAGGAAACCCATTTTTGACTGCAAATATATCACAAAATTTTTAATTAAATTTCCATATGCACTTGGAATTTGTAAGTTCTTGTTTATATATTCTTTGACAATTGTTTAATTTCGAAGTTAGGGATGACAACTAGGCGATAATCATGTGTTAATAAACGATATGTTTTCACATAGTAGTATTTCAGGAAAGTAATACATTTTTATATATAAATATATCTTTTTGTATAAAATTAATTGGCAAATATGAAAGCGTTTAATTCAAAAGAATTTTGTATAGACCTTTTCAATATATATTTTCTCTTGCTCTCAAAACAAGCTATGCCTGTATAAAAAGTATATCTAGTCATTAAACATTTTCAACTTAAAACTTTTATTAATTAAATGTGCTTTTTGTACGCAACCCTAATCAGCACTAATTTTCGTAATAGGTTTCGGAATTTCAAATTTCAGTGTGCCCGACTAAATAAACACGTGCATAAGGGGTAATAAAATTCCCTGCATTACGGCAGCAGCAGCTGCCAACACCAGGCCATTCATAAATATGTGGCGCGCGCGTCTCAGTCGATTACGGACCGGTGTGCAAGAATGAAGTGTTTGAAAGTGCTGTGCGGTGGTTTTTGAAGCGAGTTCGTTTATAATTCAAATTGCCAATTCGGTAGAGCAGTCAACAAGGAAATGGCTCAGTGGGAACAATACCTATACTTCCGGGCTGTCTAACAAATTTCACGCGAAATAACGGTATTTGTATAAACAAATGTGTACGATACAAAGTGACAGCAAATTAATTTACGAATTACTCGTATAATAGTTGTGTTACTTAAAGCAAAATTGTGAACAAATATGCAGTAATACTGTTGAATGTAGTGTTGTTGTTCGAAGTTTTTCTAACTTTTAAAAACTAATTTTAACACGAACGTTACGTTTGAATTAATTTGGTGTGTGGCCATTTCATACATGTCTTAATTCCGCACCACATAAAGCATATATAAACTTCTGATTCAAGTGACGAACAATGTTGGTAGAAGAAAACCAGTAAAACCGCCTTGCCAGCATCGCCAGTCACTTACCTGTATACCTACCAACGTGTCCCGGTCTACATGAGCCAAACAAACCATTGAGACTGCCGTGAAAGAATCTTGAAAAGAGCGACAGCCACGCGATATGTCGAAGCAACATACTATGAATCTTATAGATGCTTAACAGCTCTACATCGCTGACCGAGAATGATAACTGAACCAATTGTTTTGCGTTTGATTTGAGTTGAGAGAAGATATCCGTGGGTTGGAGTGCGAATAAAGATATGAAATGTAATTGTACTGAAGTGTAAAGTGTTTGTAGAAAGAGTGAATGTAAGTATAAGGCAATGTTTGGGAACACATAACCAACTTGATCAATAACTAAAATAATATTAAATATTATATAAAATAACAACAATCACACACATGTAAACATAACTCAAACTATAGGGAAATTCTGAAATATTGTGCAAAGATTAATATACATACACATAAAAATGCTTCTATTGAGAAGCATAAAAACCAAGGAAGCTATTTCATAAACCCAGCGGGGCGACGAAAGGGCAACCGTGTATGCTGGCAGCCAAAGGCGCTGTGTCTGTGCCTGTACTGAGGATTTATTATACGAACATGAGCTCAAAGTTGTTTTTCCAGTTTTTTGCTTTGAACCACGACAAGCATTAAAAATATTTACAGTGCCGGCAAATGAAGATGAAGAAAATGTTGAATATCAAAGCTAACATTAAAAAAAAATTAAAAAAGTAAAACAAAAAGTGCGACAAGGGAGCAGCAGAGGTGAAAATTAATAAGTGAGAGAAGTTCTTAAAGTGCAGTAGGTGCTGATAATAAGAAAGCGTAATATACATATAAGGTGTAGAACCATATCAACAGCAGAGATTAAGCGATAAGTGTAATCAGTTAAATATAAAAAAAAAATTAAGTAAAATATGTTTATCATTTAAAAAGTGTTTATAAAAAGTGATGTGTAATGAAGAAAAAATGCTGAAGTGCCAGTGCCAAAAAAACCTCACAGTGCCTACTTATTGTGAAAATAAAATTGGTTTTATATAAAACCACACTGCCATTTTTTAACAACCTAACATAATGTAGTAATTTTTCCTTACAACAAAGTTTGATTTCGCATTGTAATAACAATTGTAAAAAGTACCAAAACGTTGCCGGCCGGTCGCCACCCATTTTGCCTACGCAAATAATTGCGATAACAAACAAAAATACCAACTCTCTTCACATACTTAAGCACACTGAGAGCCGAAGATGCCATTCGTACAGCGTGTCGTGCAACCGACACGGCTGGCATTAGCTTCCGCCTCCTCCAGAAATGAGGAGCGCACGCGAGCCGCCAAATTCCAATGCACGCCCGGCAAATGTAAAAACAACAACTGCATTAATAAACAAACGATACAAACACAACTGCCACAACAACACATGAGCGTAGAAAATGTGAGAGAGGAAGCTTGTATTGAGAATGGTGGTGTACTTTCAAGGACAACATCCATTGCCAAGGACACTGCACAGCAGCAGCAGCAACAGCAAACAAGGAGTCTTGCGGGCACACCCACCGCGGGTGCCAACCACACCACCGTTACACGAGCTATAATACACGTGTCGCAGCAAAACGGCGAAACAACGAGCACACTTGGTTTCACAGCAACAAAAGCAACTGCCACATCAGCGCCAACAACGCCGATGCGTGATGTCGTCGATTGCTCACATCATAATAATCATCATCAACAACAACAACTTCAGCAACAGAATCAAATAAACGGTTATACATGCAGTTTCAGTTATGCTACCGATACGGAGGAAGAGATTTCCGTGGCATCAACATCCACACCAGCGGCTCCGCTTTCATTAAAGAAGCTCAAACACCATGTGGAATTCTTGTCCACTGCACCATCGCCAACTCGTAGCGCCAGCGCTGGTGAGATCGGCCAGCAGCAGCAAAGTCAACGACAATTGCAACGACAGCGTCAACAACGCACACAATCGCCAACAGCAGCGAAAATTGTGTCCGGTCATGAATTCGAATCCATCAGTAATCTCACATTGAGCAATGCCTTGCGCCAATTGGCATCGCTGGTGCTGTTAGCAAATGATATTTTCGATGAGTTGCAGACAGAGCTGCTGTCGGTTGGTGAGCGTGCGCGCACCGTACAACGTAAAATCATAGCTGTGGAGCAGCGCGTCTCCGTCTACGATCCGAAGATGGTCACAGTTCGTAAGTGTCATAAAATTATTATTATTTTCTTACTTCCTTCATATAACTATTGTAATAATTTAGTAAAACGTATATTTATAGTACAAGTACTTGTCGATAGTGAGCGATCACCATTATTTTAATCGTTAATTTTGTTACGAAGAAGTTTTCATAAAGGTGCTCATAAATTGTTCTCTTGCCGCCCCATGCATTTTCTCTATTTCTTTTGCTTTGTGTCATCTCACTCTTGGGTTCTCGTCTTCCAAAAAGAGAACAATCAAGAATCGCTTGCATAAAATAGTTGAAAGTTAAAATTATCCGGAATGGTTGCCCGAATGGTTTTCTACATGTCGAACTAGTAGAAGAAGTATAGCTGTCATACAAACTGACCGATCCAAATCCAGTTGTTGCATGAAAAAATTTTTTATTTGACAAAATATCTTTACGAAATTTAGCATAGATATTGGACAATAATCTGCAACAACGCTACAATCTCCGAATATATTGTTCAGATTGGATTATGCTATATAATCCTACGCTCGAAACGGACTTAGAAGAAATACTAAATGCTATAAGAAATGCATGTGAAGGCAATTATAGTTCCGTTAAAACCGAAGTTAACGTTTTTTCTTGTATTTTTCTCCGTTCTTTGCCAGATATTCGCTAAACAGAATTCGAACATATCTAAGCTTGAAATTACTGTGGAAATTTTAAAAATCTTTTTTTAGTAAATTTATTGTTTTCGCAGGAAGAAAGTAGAACGTAAAGCAGAGCGTGATTCTGTTGTCAGTTTTTTACTTAATGTTAAAACACAAGTGTTCAGACATAACAAGTATACATAATACAAAAATAATTAAAAAGTTATCACAACACAAACAAGTGCAACTGATAAAATCTTATCTCAATGTCGGTATGTAAACATTGCCTTCCAATTTTTCATATTCTACTCTTACTAGTATGTAATTTATACATATGTAATTTTAAAATCTTATCGAACCCACAACTCAACGCATTCAACGCCACCTGACGCTCGACCGGCAAAAAGTGCGCAATAAATATTCAATTCAATTTTTGCCTAACTAAATAGCAGAAAAGTAGCGCCTCTGCCACTTCGGCACTTCACCACCTACAACAGTCACCTACCTCTGGCTGTGTGCATGTTCGTGTGTGTGAATAGCCCACTCCGCCTTTGTTACCCCATTGAAGTGAGAATAACTTAATAATTAATGAAACCAGGCCAACCGGCGGCCAAGTGTGAAATGCCCATTGCATTTGTTGTATTTGTTTTTGCTCTGTGCAAAAAGGCGAAAATCACAAATTATCACCTTCGATAAATGCTTGCCTACGGAAAAGAAGCAATTAAAAATGGCAAATAAAAGCGCGAAGAACTTGAAGAGGCAAAAAACAAAAACGTTCTGCAAAAAACATGAAAAGTCGCTGAGCAAAAAATAAAAAAAATTGAAATAGAAATGGTTAGTAAAGTTGGTTAGCGCGGAATTGGCAACAACAGCCTGAGAGAATGCCACCCTATTCTGTTTCTTTTATGCAGTATTTCATCTAATTTGCTTGCTGGTCTTGTTAACTATTGTTATAATAATGATGATGTTGTGCAGAGCAGGCGCTAATTTCTGCCCTGAGTTAAAGTTGGTATTAAAAAAAAAAATAAAAATAAAAGGTTGCAATTATGATAAAAAGCAGAGTGCAAGACCTTACGTCAAAAACGTAACGAACTGTCAAACTTTCAAAGTAATTGCAAACAAAGCCTTCTGCGCTTTCTGCTTGAGTAGTTAATAATTCAGCGCACTCATCTACAGCTAACTTCTTGCACAATACATAGCTGCACATTTTTCTTACAGGGTCAGATGGTGTAGCATATGCCTTTACAAACGACTATTATAGCACACTTTAATTGCAATTTAAAAGTGTGATAATGTTTATGATTGCGTAATATTACAGAACACATTTTTAAAGTTTGGAAAGCATATGGTTACAGGCAGCGTAGTGCCTGAGTATACTTTTATGTGATTTGTATGTATTACGTAGTGCTGGATATTACTTTTTATTTTGAAACTTTTGGTTCTTCATTAATTTGAAGTCTCAACACTAATCCATTAAATATTTAATTAATAAACCAGCTGGCTTTAGTTGCTTTATTTTTAATTCAAAACATAGATATTCACATAAGCTCATAAATCATGGCTTAATGCTTTGGACATTGGATTTTTCGATGAAAGTTTCTCCAAATTTTATAAGAACATCTGCTAGAAGTAAAATTCATGGGTTTATGAGAATTTATTTTAAAAGTCAGAGTGAGCACTGGATAGATTAGATTGGGTTAAAATGTCGATTCTAATTTGACAACTGAGAACACCGGAACATTGTTATGCCTAAAAACTCCTAACTATTGATCGATTGACTCACAAGACTCAACAACGCACTTGGATGCTGCCACAAATTTTTTGCGACTGATATTAATTTCTATTTAGCTATTTCGCCTAGTTCGCCGAAGATATGACTGCCGAGATGTTTCAATCCTAGTCTTACAAAAGCTGGACATACAACTTTGACAGTTAGCACTGACATAATTTTCAGCCTTACCGCAGCACATTTACTGGACAATGTCCAGTGAGAAATTCGACGATTGCGGCAAGAATAACCTTACCGAGGGCAAGTGCCTCAGTGGATCTCCTGCGTTCTGCATTAGGTCAGAAGGATCTGTGCCTGCTAAACTCACATGAAATCCACAATCCAGCGCTAGAACGCAGGAGTACAACGGAGGCTCAACTCGTTCCCATGCCGATGTGATTGGGACTAGGCTGCCCTCTCTTGCGAGCTCGATGCTACCTTGATGCTATTGATAATGAGGACAGATCGTCCTTAACTAACTTTCAGCGCATAGTGAGCAAGCTCATAGCTAGTATTGTCACTCTACTGTCAGAGTGAGCCTCCAACATCTAGTTCCCTCTAAGTTTCGAGCCATCCTTGAAAAAACGTACTGTAAAGCTATCAGTAGTAGACTCTGCGACGCAGTTATCTAAGTGTTCACAACTTATTTCCTACTTGGTCGAGTTATTTTAATATTTCTCCCGAAAAATATGAATAAAATAGTTTTTGAGGGTTAAAAGGGTATGAACATGTTACGGTTTTAACCCCTTATTTCCTATTTCCTATTTTCCTTTCTGACGAAAACTGCACAACAAATTGTGATATTTTGAAACGAAATGACGATTGACCCAACCAACATTTTACAAATTTTAGGATTACTATTTAACCTTTTAGGTTTTTGCTAGCTTTGTACATTGCTATTATCTAGTACATATGTATATCCAAAGTATTGTGGGTCATACAACAGCTGAACAGTATTTTCTTCGGGTACTGCACTTATTAATTTAGGTTTATAAAATATGATTTTATTTAGAAAACGAAGTCGAAAAAGTTTGCCGGTTTTGAACCGAAAATTTTGCGTCTACAGTTGTACATACGTACATTCATGTATGTATGTATCAATATATGTATATACCTATGTACTCAAGTACGTGCTCCCATCGCTGATGAGTCAGCTAATTCGATTCGAATAAATTTCGAAAACATTTTATATTGCACATTTGCCGTCTGATGTCTCAACTTTATGTAGAATTTACGTACACACGCACACATATATACATACAGACGCACTTAGCTGGCATTGCAGATTCACATGCCTCAAAATCCATGCATAAATACATAAATATGTTTTATATGCTTACACAAGCGCCATTGCGGTATTCATGCCATTTTGTTGTGGCTTCGCGAAAATTTTGGCGTCTGACCGGCAGAATGTTGGCAAAAGAAAAACTGTTTGTGTTTGAAAAATACGATTTTGATTTTCAACACCATGCAAAATAAGCGAAAAAAAAATAAAAATCTTAGAGCGATTGCCAGCTCATGGGTTGTACAAAAGAAGAGACGCACGGCGTCAAGTGGAGAGGCGACGAGATTAGTGCCAATAAGAAATGTGTTGCACAAAGAAAACAACTTTAGGAAATCGCATATAATTCTATTTGAAGTATACATATAAGAATCGCAAAATTATTGCACAAATGTGGTTTTCAAAAGGTAATTTTACAATAATTTGCAATTTTGAGCGCAAATTTTATTTTGTTGCAGCAATATTTGCGCTGCTTTCTTGCTGAAACGCTTGAATTGATATTTGAAAACTGCTGCAAGTCTATTTATTTATATGTGCATATATAAAAGTATTTGTACTGAAATTAATTTGCTACATATTTGTAGAGTAATGTGCGTATGCATGCTTTACACACAACAGACGCAGTACAAAAGTCAATTCTCTTGCACAGGGGCAGACGAACAGCTGCCAATTGGCAATAAAAACAGTTTGCTGAAAACAACTGTATGTATGTATGTAACCGTACATGTGTATGTGTGTGTGCATGTACATTTATATACTATAAGCAGGTAGCCAGGTCAACAGATGACGTGTTGCATGCCTATACAAGTATATTATGTTACATTAGTTGCATGTTGCACGTGGCACGCTAATGTATAGCCGTTGTTTGTATATAATAATAGCTTGGAAGCCGAAGTTAAAACTCTACTACATGTTTAGTCAAACTTTAACTACTTGTAAAGCGATTGTGATATTGCAACATGGTATTTGCAACACAATTCAAGTGAGTGGCGAATACAATTTTGGAAATTTCAGAGAATACAGTAAATAATCAGCTGTTTCAGAAGCAATGCTGCATAAAATCACATTTTTGGCTATTCTTTTACGGCAGCATATGCGTGCCGCAGTCTGACAGCATATTCGTTTCAGTATTCGAATCAATATTTCGTATAGTTTCTAGTTTACGAGCGTTTCCTTCAAATTTTATTTCTATTTTATTGCTTTATTGTGGCTAAAAATGTTAATGTTAATGTCCCTTAGCGGGCGCTCACAGTCACACAAATCTATCTATTTGTATATATATGTATGTGTGTCGGTGTTTTTTTATTTTTGTACAATAATTTACAATTGCGCG